TGGTACAGTGGAGGTGGAGTCCTCATGCTGCAGCTCTTTGAATCGAGACTGGTTCATACCCTCAAGCACACATTAGCCAAGCAAAAGCTACGGACCTTGGCCCTGCCCTTGGGAAGGAAAGTCGGAAGCATGTGGGGAACGCTCCCAGCTTTCATCTTTGTGATCAGTCCGAACTGACTCTTTACATGCCCCAGCTTTCATGCCATCCCTGCTTCTTTTCCTCTCTTTCTTCTGATGGTCATGTGCTTGCATCTTTGCCGAGCCCACGGGAAACAATACCTGCTTTGTTCGAGCTGTCTTCAGTTCCTTCCCTTTACCTTCTCAAACACCGGGAAGGGCTGACTTGAAAACTTGGTCCATTTAGCAGAGTTTGGCTTCAAGTCAACAACCCCAGACTAACAGTGTTTGATTATCAGACGGCAGGAGATCAATTCTAATTCCTGAACAGTTATCATTCTTCCTGTTGCGGCTGTTCTCCAGCACTTTGAGATGCTGAGAAACTTTACGTGCAGGTGTCCGCAGGAGGCAAAAGATTGATGTGTCCCTGCAGGTTTTACACCTGATCGTATCGGTCATAGAGACCTCTGTTGTCTTACGTGAGGATGCTGCCTTTTCTAATTTTCCCTTAAATGTTGGTTGCATTTTGTGGGAGCCAGCTTGGTGCAGTCACGGAACGAGTGCTTGGTGTTAAACCTGGCATCTCAGCCTGGTTCCTGGGCTGGAGCACACTGATGCTCTGCTGAAGCTGGCAGAGATGCACGCGCTTGCTCTTGTTGACAAATGGACATCACGGAAGAAAATGTGTGCACTGCCCAAATTCTCTATAGCAATGGCCATTTTTTCTCCCCCATCTGTATGTTTACTCTGCTTCAGTCTGAGAAGAATCACGAAAAGAAATGGGTGTCCTGCAGAGCGCCCCATTACACACAGCCGAAGCCTGACCCATCAGGGGGCAATCTAACCAGGGGCACACGGTGGGCAGAGAGCCGGTCATCAGCAACCAGGTCACCTGGCTTACGCTGATCAGCGTGGGGGTGGTCACTCAGCCCCGTTGGTGCTGTCCTTTTGAGCAAATGGGAACTGTTACAGCAGGGGCACAACATTACTGCTACAGGGGAGAAGGAAAAAGGCTGTTTCGTTCACTGGTGACATTGCCACGGCTGGACCCAGCGTGGCTGGCGTGGGGTCAGTCCCCACATGCTCAGCGGCTTTGGGCACGGGAAGCCCGCAAGTTTCTTTTCCAGGTTGAAAACAGCTGCTCTGTGCTGTAGATACTTGTGTGCCTTGGTTTTTAAAAAGGACGGTCCTTGTAGCAATGATTGCACCAACAAAATTTGGCATTCCCACTTTTATATTAAATTTTTTTATTGAGATGACGTAATTACAGGCATTTTAAAAACTATTTGCAACTCACTGGCCCTGAGAATAGGCTTTGTTTGTTTTTGTTTTGTTACATTCATTTAATTCACCCCCTTAGCCCCCACACCTTAAAAAACCAAAAAGCCATCATCAGTAAAAACAGACTAGAATTTTATTAAAAATAAAAAAAAGACCTTGAACTGATGCATTCTGGGTTTGCACACAGATGCAGTCTGACACACAGATCTGGCCAATGCATGCGTGGGGTTTGCAAGCTGGGGAGGGCGGTAGCGACGTAGTGTTCACAGAAAGGGCCCCCGTAGTGTTCTCTGGGTGGAAAGGAATCAAAAGGTGTCAAACGCCCATCAAGCAAACGTTCTGCTGTGGAACTGCAGCGCGTCCTACCTGGCTGGCTGGTGCCTGGTTCAGACTCGTAGCGAGCTGACGGCAACGAAGGCCCCTCTGAACTGCACAGGGTCAAGATCCTTCACTGGGTGTTGGGCTTGGCAGGGACCTGTGGAGGTCATCTGCTCCAACCCCCCTGCTCAGGCAGGGCCACCCAGGTCCAGTTGCCCAGGACCGTGTCCAGATGGCTTTTGCGTGTCTCCAAGGATGAGACTCTCCCTTTTCCCACTTGCTTTGGTGGCAAAGATAGAAAGTTTGGCTGCTTTGCTGCCGGCAAATTCTACACTGGGAAAACAGAAAGTGGGGAGGGAAGATGGGTGTCAGGGTTGGTGGAAAGACAGTGTGACCCTTGCTAGCCCGGACGGGCAGCCGACTGTTCCTGTAGCTGACTACGCTGACGCTGTGTTTGCCCTCCATATATCTGCCATTTGGATGTGAGGTAGATGGGAAGCTGTGTACTGCAGCTGCTCTAGCATGGTTTTGTTTGTTTTCGCAGTCGGGGTGGTAAACTTGCTTCCAAGAGCGCAAGAGCAGTTCAATCCTGCAGCTCCCACAACAGGTGCCAGGCCCCTGCAGCCTGGTAGCTGCAGTGGCCCCCGCCACCACCCACTGCTGCCCAGGCAGACCTGGCAGGAGGCAGGGGACAGCCCCACCCAGGAAGGGCCTCCGTGGGATCAGCCTGCTCCATGTTCAAGGGCTGTTTTTGTTCCAGCTAACACCAGCCTTGAGAGAACTTCTCCATGGTTGTGGTGGAGAAGAATTTTAAGATGTCCTTTACATGTGAACTGAGAGTTTTCAACAGCCACCAAATACTTTTTTTTTTCCCCTTTGACTTAGATTCTGCAGGTGAAAGTGACTGCATTTTTGGTAAAGGTGAACATTTCCTCTACACAGTTTCCCTAGAAAAATTTCCCTGTGGGACAAGATTTCAGGATTCGTTGCTTCTTCCTGCCTTACCCAGAGCTGAGGATGAACTTTGCTAGCATACTCAGCGAGCATACAGGTTTCTACTGGTGGGCTGGCTCTTGCTCTCTGTATTTTGCAGTGTGCACCTTGGCCATGACAAAAACCGGTGGCTCATCAGAGCACTTTATATATAGAAGGTCCCTATTGCCGGGGGTTTTTGTCTCAACGTCTCGGAACAGTAGCTGCAGCAGGCAAAAGAAAACAATGTAGTTACGCAGTTGTCATAGCCAGGGAAGTAAAGGACATGATTCATTCTCTGCACAAACCTGGTTTCTTTCTACCACTGAACACTCCAAGAAACCGGCAAGAGCCGTTCTTTACGTGGATGCATCTGACTGCACTTCACCGGTCATTCACATTCACCTCTTCACCTCACGCTCTTCACCCCAGCTCCTGAGAGATGGTGGCCACGTGGGGTGGCCCTGAGCAGCGTGACAGCAGAGCAACCCCCTGTCCCCTGGGTTTCAAGGGACCTTTGGTTTCAGATCTGTGACTAGTGAAGTCCCTCAGCGTCTCCCAGTATCCCCCCAAGTCACAGCCGACAGGTCGTCTGCTCACCCTTCTGATACACACTCTCACGTCCTTTCTTCGGAGAGGTGTGCTGGGACCCACAACATATGATTCCGTGAAGAAAAGTGGCTGAGAAAAGCTTAGGGAGAGACGTACGTCTGCCGTTCCCCATCAGGTCCTGCCCCTGAAAAATGTCTCCTCTCTGATGCCTATCTACACCCCTAACAAAGCTGTTCTACCACCTGTGACTCGGTATTAAGCCTTTCGTGAGACTGGACTATCTCTGTTTAAACACAGGGGACACTATTCCCTGCCAAGGGCCATTTTTTCCTTGATAGATTAACCTTCTTTTTAAATGAGGTAAGATCAAATGTTGTGTTGGTTTAATAGCTGGTAAAAGCTCGATCATGCGAATGTACCTTGGTTTTTTGGTTGAAATGGATCACATTAGCCCATTGATTTTTTCCAGTTCTAGCATGTGTGTTCCCATAAAAGAGGCTTTCTGTTTTAATGAACTGGTGTGGACATCCTTTTTTCCAGATGTCGTGATTCCTGCACAGTTCTCTCTACGTATTCCCCCTTTGCGAGCACCGTTCCTGCTGCGACATTTTCCTTCCACTAAAAGGACGGCAGATGGTGGATCGATCACGCCTGGACACCACAGACCTTCCTGTCAGGGTGGCCCAAGCCATGTGAAATGAGACAGCCCCGCAGTTTCTCTTGTACTGGGCATCAAGGAGCTTCCTGCGACTGAGCTAGGCGTAGCTCTTCACCTCCTGCAAGGCACCCTCGGTGCAGCAAACTGGGGTGTAAAAAATGGGTCACCTTGCAAGCAGAACAAAAGCAAAAACCAAGAAAGAAACACGGCTGTGGGGTTTCTTTTTTTCTTGTCTTTTAAATCATGGGCAAGCTGAGACAAGTTCCCACGATGGCTGAGTTGTGGGGTGGGGGAGGGTAGTGGGAGGCATAAAAAAACCCTAAATCCCCAAACAAAGCCCAATTCAATTACAAGATATAAGTATAGCTATTTGGTCTCTAGTTCTCTACCATCAGTTTTCAGATTGGTGAATCATCTACCTCTCCAGCAGCATAAAATGATCCCAGAGAGGTTTCTGAGTAATACAAACCATGTGATGGGTGCCTTTGCTTTCTCCCTACGATGTAAGAAACAGTCCTTCACCTTTCACCCCAAAATTGCTAGAAGGTATAAGAAACACCACCTCCCTTTTGTAAAGACAGATGCTTCAGCCTTTGTTTTTTTATAGAAAGCTTTGTGCTGAAATTCTGCATGGAATTTCAGCTCAATGGAGCCCTCCCCCCGGCTCCGTTCTATCACTTCTTTGCTAGAGGGAGGGAAAACATCAACATCAGTCTATTGCAGAGGTTTTTCTCCAAAACATTTGGTTTTCTCCTCCCCGGAGCACTTAGGTGATTGGTTTTGGTCCATATTCCAGCATTTAATAGCCACTTGCTGGACTCGTGAGCCCGAGCTCTGCTGGGCTGGTATCCCAGACGACACCTGAAGGGTGACCCCTCTTCATGTGACAGGGGTGTGCGCTAAATTCTTTTGGTAGCTTCAACACATTTCCCAGTGGCAGCGCAGGTAAATCGATCTGAGCAAACTGGAACCCTTGAGCAAACCCCTTCTGGGTTGCAATCGTTTTATGTGGTATCATGTCATGAGACTTGCACAGAACATGAGAGCTCTCTATTTCCATAGGAAAGCCTTCCAAAAAAAAACCAAAAAAAAAAGCATAATCTTGTCCTATGTGAGATAAGGAAAGTCAAACTGCATGTTTATTAGGGAAACCCCCCCCCAAAACTGAAACAAACCAAAAAGAAAGAAAGATCTCAAGGGAGACTTTGTAGGAACAGGGAAGTAGTGCGTAAGTCCAGGCTTTCTCCCCTTTACTTTTCTGCCAGCACCACTTCTGCCTGTTAGTTTGTTTTGTTAAGATGCTTCAGGTCCTGCATGGTCCTTCAAGCTAAGCGGCGACCCCAAGAACTGCTTCTGTGTTGTTGCATCCCCTCCCAAACTGTGCCAGTCATCTGGGCAGATGTTTCTCCCACGGACCCACAGAGACGGTGAACCAGTTCCCTTCAGCACTCATCTTCTTGGTAGATTTGTTCATCCAGTTCCTGGGATTCAAGGTGCTCGAGGCGGTCTGTTCGGCCACTCATAATCTCATCTGGGGTCTTCATGAACCTGCAAAACAGAGAAGCAAGTGGATTTCCCAGTGGTCTCAGCTTTCACCTTCATCAGGACACCGAGGCCCCTGAGCTCTACAGCTCCCAAAATCATCTTTGCTGTATCCTCCCAATGCCTCAGCATTTCCCAGCTTCTCCCCAGCTTACTGGGGTCTTCCTGCCTGCAAATCACAAGCGTTTACCCCTGCTCCCTGACAGTCCAAATTTGAACGAAACCCCATGGGTTTTTTCCAAAGAATTATATTTACTTCTTCTCCCTCATATTGTTTGCTGTTGTCATCTAAGGTGGCAGTATGCCACAGGTACGCTCGTTTATGGCGTCTGGTGACAGAACACTGAAGACCTTTATGGCCAGCGTATTTCAAAGCAAAAGCACTTGCAAGGCGTGGAGAGGCAGAGGGTGACTGGTTTGGGCAGGTTTGGGTGCAGATGGGTGAAGACGACCATGAAACACCAAATGATCAGTGGTGGGAAAAGCCAAGGACCAACTCAGACCAAATTCTAGGAAATGGAAAGCCCTGAAAGAAAAAGCTTTTGGGCTGGGGAACTGTGAGCAAAGGCAGCCTCTTCCTGTGTGACTGTAGGAAGAATAATTGTAATGAAGCAGCAGCCTCTGTAAACAAATGCCACGGCTCCCCGCACTAACGTCCTGATGCAGTAAGTCTGCAGGGGGCTAGAAACAGAAACTGCCTCTGGGGAGGCATGGCAGCGGTGGGAAATGGGAAAGGACACCCACCAGCCTGCAGATCAAGCCCGCAGTCTTGATCTCTGACAGGACCCTTTTGTGTACTACTGCACACAGCCAGCACAGAAAAGCTCCGCTGCTTCTTTCTGAATTGAATGGCGTAGGAAGAGAGTGGCACAGGAAGGAGGAAGTCCTGGTTTAAATACAAACCACTTTCCTAAGTACTTCTGGAGAAATCAGGATGAAAGACGTTTACGCTGGAAGCGTTACAAAATTTCACGGGCTTTCGTTAGCGATGTACTGGCTAACCTGCAGCAGTACAAAATGCGTTCATCAGGGGGCCTGATTTTATTTCAGGCTGATGTATCCTGGCCCCAGTGAAAACAAAACCAACTGACAGGAGCGTCGTTACTCTCACTGACCCAGAACAACCACTGCTGCAGCGAATGGGCAAGACATGCCCCCTCTTCTGTCTCTGAGGTTGTAACGCTGAGGGCTTCCTTTCAGAAAAATCTGGAGTCTCTCAGCAAATGCAGAGCACAGCCTGGAACTAACCTTTTGCCACCCCTTCTAATTTTGGAAATCATGTGCCCGTGTGTGTTTAGGGTGAAAAAAAAACAAAAAGGGCTGTGACTCACTGCTGTGTCACTCCTATCTGTACGCCGAAGAGCGCTGCTGATGGAAATGGTGTGGTGGGGGTGAAAAACTAGCACACAGATGTGGTGAATCAGTCCCTGGCTACGCCGCGAAAACGCACCAAAGCCTACGGGCCAGACTGTGCCCTGAATTAACCCTGCGCTTGTCTTCTTGATCCTGCGTGAGAACGAAATCAAAGCGGAGAGTGATCCCGAGTGGGAAATGGGCTGATGTCAACTGTGCTGCAGTACTTTGGGTATTCTTTCTGGTCTGTGTTTTAAGTCGTGTCAAGGAACTCAGAGCATGGGTATTTGTAACAGCATTTGACTAAGCTGTAAACAACCAACCCAAAAGTACAAGCCAATGAAGAAACCGTGTCTGCCACCTCTTTCGTTGCGGGACAGTCAGGAGACCTATCAGAAATCCGTTTCTGACACCATTTTACTTAAAACTCTGTACAGATATCTGCAGGTGACAACTGCCCCCATGTTACTTATGAAGTCACATTTCCTATTACTTCTGTGCTTACAAGAAGTAGCCAAGAAAGGCACATTAATGGCTTGATTTTTTTGCAGCTGTTCTTCTTTTTGTCTTTAGACATAAATAGGTCTAAGAAAAACACATCAGTAATTTTTTTATTGGGAATTGTGAAAAAAATGCTTTGTTGTATTTTTTTCCCAGTTTCCGAGGGAAATGAGGTTTATATGCCCATGTTTTATGCTCTCTGGTGACCTCTGAATCTCTTGGTCAATTCTGGACAAGTCTGACAAAGGAACTGACATCTCCCAGGGTATTAAGTTTCTACAGTTTTGAGAAAATAGGCGGCCTGGTTGAGAAGAGGTGGACTCCTGTTTCGTTTGTGCCCCCACCAAAGGAAAGGCTCCAAGATAAGCACATTCACTGCTCGGCATCACAGAGCTCTCCCAAGGCAGTGCAGTCTTCACACAAGGTCACAGCAATCCAGCCTGCCTTCCTTGGTCCTGCTGCAGCTGGAGAAACCTTGTTTTAACTTGCCAAAAAAACCCAAATTAAAATCACACAGTTGATTTTGCCTGTGATTCCTTCTTCCCTCTCCTTCCCCCATCTAAGCCTCCTTCTAAGAGCTGACAAGACATTCCACAGAAACCTTTTCAGCTGCTGATGGTTTTGAGTGCTAATGCAGTTTGGTTAGCTGTTTAAGAAGAGACTCCAAGACTGCCTTCCTACTGATACCATTTCCAAGCAGATTACTAGATCCAGGCCACTGACAGCAAAGCGGTCTTTGGTCTGAGTTCAGCGCTCTGCAGGTCAGGTGTACGCACTAGGATTTGCTGGTCTGGTCTGAAGAGAACTGGAGGGGTCTCGCACTCCCAGCCACACTCAAGTCTGTACAAGTAACTCCCTGCTTTAACACTGTTTCAGGCACTACTTCCTAAATTCTTGGTGGTATCATCCAATCCAATGCATTAGGTTTTATGAAGAGCTTTTGCCGGTTCCCCTCTTCCTTGAAGGCAGCACTGCCGAAGACATGGCCATCAGCACTTCTGCGATGCTGGTGCACTTGAGGAAATGCCCCGTCCTTGCTTAGCTTTCAGCAGCAGCTGTGTTTGGGAAGTGAATGTGGAGCGGGTTTTACAGCAGTTTGGCCGACATCATGAATCATTTAGCTAACATCTTAAACAACGGCGCAGCCCACTCAAGCAAGTGAAAAGACTTCTATTGACTCCACTGATCATCGCAACAGGCTCATATTTTCATAAATGGGTGCAGTTGCCTTGAAAGCTGGGAAGCACTGGTCTAGACAGCTTTTACAAATATATGCCCATTGTCACCTGTGTTAGAGCCCTGGCAGTAAAGTATCCCACACACAATTCCACCCTCCACCTTCAAAAACTGATTGTCTGTAGAAAGGAATGGCAAAGAAAAGAAGAAATTACCTGAACAAAAGCCTTTGTCCTGGCTCCTTCCGGATAATATTTAGTTTGTAGTAGTGGCGTAGGGCTCTGGACATTTTCTCGTAGGTCATATTTGTTCTGTTCTGTTTTTTGAAAAAGAAAAAGGAAAGCCATGGTGAGATGATTCATTAAAAGCTTCCTAAGCCCCAAAAGGAGTTGCAGAACTATTACAGCTAGCTAAAGTCACCAAGTCAGTTCAAGAAATTACATGTTCCACTCTTCTGGTGTTTGCAGGCCCCTCCTGCCCCTCATCACCAAATTTTTATGGGTCTCTTTTCATTCAGGGCAATGTAAGCAAGAAACTCTAACAAAAATTCCAAGTGAGGTTTTCATACAGTTTCTTGAATCACAGATAACAAAAGGCTTCCTCAGCCATAGGAGGAGACATTAGATGGGGAGTGATGCTCATGCCAAGTGGGATGTGACAGGCTTGTTCTTAATGAAACCACCTTTTGTAAAAGCGAAGAGCAGTGGCTAATAGACTGAACTTGTCAGCAATCCCTGCTAAGAGCACTGTTCCTCCGGGATTCCCCTCCATTAACTAGTTAATGCTTACAGAGCACTGTGGAGATTGAGGGCCTGTTTCTCCTTTTTGTTATACGGGTCTAAATCAAGAAGTCGGTTAGGTTGTACATCTGCTTCTATAAGCACCTCCCCATCATTCTGGGAGCTGCTGACCCCAAAAGCCATAGTCAAAGCACTGCAGGGTGACTGAGGTATGGCCCTTCTGAGGTGGAGTGTCACCAGGCAGGAGTGATGGGCACGGGCAGAACTGTATGTGGGCAGCCCCCATAGTTTTGACTTGGGATAGCAGGATCAGTCCTTAGGCTACGTCTGCACAAAGAGCGTTTTTTTCTGGTACTGCACTGGCAAAGAAACTCCCAGCAGAGAGGCAACTATACTGGCAAAGCCATGTTTGCTGAGTACAGAGCAGCCCTCTTGCCATGGGCAAAACACGCCGAACTAGTAGAAGCATGCTTTTGCTCTGTAGGCCTCCATGTTAGGAGCTTGGCTCGCACAGCTCTGTCAGTCCAAGATCAGGCAGAAGCCAAAAGTGTTGACCTGCCTTTAATAAATGAGACAGATTCGCCTGTCTGAAACGCCCCCTAAGAGCAGACCTCCTCTGCTCGCCCTGACCACAACACCTCTGTTACGGGAGGCCACATGAAGACCTCCTCTGGCAATTAAACACTAACAATGACAATATTTTCCCTGCAACATCTAGACTCTGCTCATTGGGAAGTTTCCTAAAAAAACGTGTGCTTTTTCCACTTCTTACATGCCAAAGGGCCACGGTGTTTCCCAAATGGCTAGTGGTCTGAAATAGCTTTAGTTTTAGACACCTAGCATGAGACACGATGGCAAGGCCTGATTATTAGCATAGAGGTAGAGTAAGGGCAGAACTCCCCATTCCCAGTGTTGCAGCCCAAGTCCTTGAAGACGGATGTTCTTGTAAGCAGTGAGTCACACGAGAAAATCTTGACCTTATCAAGATTATAGGCTGTGTATACTCATGTACAGAATCACAGAATAGTTGAGGTTGAAAGGCACCTCTGGAGATCACCCAGTCCAGTCTCTCTGCTCAAGGCACGGTCAACCAGAGACAGTTGCTCAGGACTGTGTCCAGGTGGGTTTTGAGCATCTCCAAGAATGGAGAGTTCACAGTCTTATCTGGGAAACCTGCTCCTGTGTCTGCTCACCTTCCTAGTAAAACAGTCCCACACCTGTCGTCTCATGAAACCTAACAAGGGGAAAGGGAAAGCCCCACACCTCCCCAGGTCATTCCTCCCTAGGTGGGGGACTTTACATTGCCCCTTGTTAAGTTTCATGAAATTCCTGGTAGCCCATTTCTCCACCATTTCCAGGTCCCTCTGGATGGCAGCACAACCCCCTGGCCTATCAGCCACTCATTCCAGTTTTGTATTGTCTGAGAACTTGCTGAGCGTGAGCTCTGTCCCATCATCCAGGTCATTAATGGACATGTTAAATAGTATTGGCCCCACAATCAATCCCCAGGGTAACACTACTGGTGACTGGCTTTTCTGCCACTGATCACAACCTTGGCAGCCCAGCAGTTCAGCCAGTTTTCAATCTATCCCACTGTATTCTTGTCTAGGTCATACTTAATTATTTTGTCTATGAGGATATTATGGGAGACAGTCTCAAAAGTCCTTCTAAAGTCAGGTTGAGCTCCATCCACTGTTCTCCCTGCATACAGAGCTAATCGTTTCATCACAGATGGGGATCAGGGTGGTCAAGCATGATTTCCCTTGTGTAAATCCATGCTGACTACTCATATATGAATATACTCATATAGCTACATCTACACATACTCAGCCCCAAACTGCAAAACTCAGTAACTGCTTTCCAGAGAACGAAGCAGATTACCCCCTGCAAAAGTAAATACATAATCCTGCAGCATTTGGTGTCTGTCACAGGACAGTGCGTGAAATCTGAATGTTGGTACAGACAGGAACACGGGCAGAACGCTTCTGCTGAGATTTAGTACACAGCTCCTTGTAGACCACATCTAACCAGAACATCCTTAGCATCGGGTTTCGGGAAGAAACGAGATGCCTTGAGAAAGACCGTTAATTCTTACACTCCTTGTAATTTTATAATTAAATGCATTTATAACTGAATGCCTTTAAACCAACCAACAGGTTCTCTATATGAAGGATAGGTTTTAGTGCTTGCGGCTGGATGCTTTACAGTTCTAATGTGCACACAATGAAAGATTACAACTTTCCAGCAGTAGTTTATATGCACATGGTTCCCTCGTTCATAAGTGAATCCTGTCATGTTACAAGAGGTGAAGTGCTGTAGGAGGAAAATTGCATTGCTTCCTTACTTTGTGGTTTCCCCACAGCCGGGCCAGCCCGTTGGGATCCACTATCCGAAATATTTTGGATTCCTTATCTTCCCATCGGATGAAATTTTCGTACCGGGTGTCAGAAAGCAGCTGATAAACATAATCCCAAAGCAACCTACAATCTGTGAAGAGAGGAAGAAGAAAATATTGAATCCTTGGGATTAATTCTGGAAACTTTTGGGAGGATGTGTAGTGAAAGGACAGTTGGGATCAGGGCTGAAACAGCTGCTGCAATCTGAAATGCAAATGGATTGGTTGGCATCGACTGATGTTTGCAAAATGTACGGGAATATACAGTCTCTTCTGATCCTAGTCCTTGTGACACTTGACTGAGCATCTCTATCCCATTAAAAGCTCTGTGAGACGACCTGCTGATCTTAATCCTGTGTTTATTGTTGTACTGATGCACATAAAATTACCACTGTTGGCTCGGACACTGTTGCTGGCTGTTTTGGTGGGGAAATCAAGAATCCTGCAACCTGCTATACCTGCTTGAGTCTGCCCCTTTCTGTGCTAACACGAGGGGTCTGAAGCATGGGTGATGTTACAACATTCCTTTGTATACTCCATGTGATATAAACCTGACACCTTCTACCATTTCTGAATTTGCTTTTTGTTTTTTTTTTTTATGGTTCCTGAAAAAAACCCTGAAGTATTATAACTACTCGAGTGCTATCGAGAGGTTAAATACTTTCTATTGGGATAATTGAATTCATATTTCCTCCTGGCAAACACTCCTTAGGTCGCTAATTAAAGGTCTAACAGATACTTAGGTTTTAGTTTAGTGTTTTTCACTTTCATGGCAGTCTCCTGAGACTGGGGAAGCCAAGAGCTGAGCTGCTCCTACTTCCTGCTTGCATCGTGTGTGTGTGCAGCACAGCATAATAACTGGTAATTGTGAAATATGGAAAGTGAACTGCACAGAGCTGGGGGTTCTGCTGCTGTCAGAAATAACCAGACTTTTATAGCTCAACTGTCCAGATCCCTCAGATGACCACAGAGTTGCATTTTACTTTGAAAGCAAGTAGTTAAAAGGTGGGCAACCAAAAACATCCAGCTTCTACATGGTAAGATGGATTATTGTCAGCCTGTCTTTCTATTCCTGTCTGTCTGGGGTTGGTACATGTTAGAGTGGGGATGATGACAGGTTCAGTATGAGAATATAAAATGCTTTTTGTAAAGGGATATGAATAAATGCATTTAATGAGCATACATGAAATGGTTAGATATTAACATTATCGATGGTATTTCCCATTTTCAAACTGTAAAAAGTACCTCTGAAACTTGTACTGTCTCCAAAACGAGTGCTTAGTTTGCCAGTGCCCTTGCTACAGGCTCTCCCTACCAGTCCTATAGGGAACAAAGTGTGTTTTGAAGAGATGACATTTGGCAAAACTTGCAGCTTTTCATTCTAGCTGAAACCTACCCCCATGGTCACCTCATTCGTAACATCTTCAGGAGGTGGAATGTGAAAGGAAAGAGGTAATCAAATTTTTTGGTTGGAAGAAACTTTCTTTCAATAACATTTTTCAGAGAGAAATGTCCATTATCATTTGAAATGTTTCTGGGGTTTAATTTAAAAAATGGAACAAATTTAAATTTTTTTCATTCACAGATACGAATGTTGATCAGTGAGAATTTCCTCCCTCTCACCTGGAATAAGGTCCTTGCAGCTGGGACCAGGACAGAAGATAATTCTCCTCCGCAGGCATGTGCCGACGACCGGCCTAGACAGGTCACTTCCTGCACACAGATGCGGAGAAGCCTTCCTTTGCCCTGTCCCTCCACCCCAAGTCCGTAGGTAGCCCGGCCGCCTAGCCCACGGCTGCAGATACCAAGCAGGGAGCTGGCTGCAATGCCAACCACTGCTGCAGCGAAACCCTCGTGCAGCTCTGGGCACAAGTGACTTCCCCTGGACTAGGCGGGATGTCTGTGGAAATCAGACTAACGCTCTGAATTCTGCCATCTCTCCTCTCACCAATTCACAAACCCCAGCTCTTCAATCACCAACACCACCGATTACCATCAATAATTTTTCACACACGCACACACACACACTCTGAGAAACGCACATATTGGAAAAATCTTTTCTAGACTTCATTTATGAGGAACAAGGGAAGGAAGATCATATTGCTCTACTGGTTTGTGACTTGTAAAAATGTGGGAGGTGCTCAGGTAATAGCATAATAAGGGTCACTTAAGTGTTTCCTTGACACACATGTAAATCATTCTCAAACTCTTGCAAAGAAAGACTGTAGAAAATATTTTAGTGCAAGAATCTTAATTAAAAAAAAAACAAACCAAAATCCAACCCAACCAAACAAAAAAATTAGCCGTAATTTTTTTACATTTTCCTTTTCCTTTGATTTCTCTAGCTCTGACTCCCCAGGGTATGTTTTGTCAGTTGATCAGAGTTGTTAAAATGGCTGCGTTCCAAAAAGTACCATTATTTTTTTCATCGTTCTGTGTAGTCTGTGATAACTTTAGCGACAAAACTTACATAGTCTATGTCAACAATTCACACTGAATTCACTGATTTAGATCATCTTTTCCCAAAGATCTCCACGATTTCTTTCTGCCCAGTCCTTCATTAAAACTACCGTAAAGGTGATGTGATCCCCTAGGTCAGCAGTGAATCATTCACCATGAGTGGGCAGTACTGGGCTAAACACCTGTGGGGGGCTCAGGCCACCCACCTCATCTGCAGGAGAGGTCTATCTTGGTGGGATGTTTCAAATCAGAAAACACTGACTTAGCAGATATTCGTCAAGGAAAAAAGAGACTCTCTTTGGCCAAGGTAGGAATTTATTAGAAACCAGAGGGAAGAGAGGAAGGATGTGTGAGTCTGGTGTTGAACCAGAGCTTTGAGACTGCGCAGAAGTTTGCTGTGGTGGTTGGCCGGCACACATTTGGTTCTCCAGAGATATGATTTACCCTAAACGTTACTTTCAACTCATTATTTGCAATATGCAATGTTAGTTTTCGTCTGTAGTACACTGCTGTAACTACGCTCTAGAAAATTTCCAAGTGTATAAATACATCTCCTACTGATGGGGATGGCAGACCCTAATACCCTCTCTCCCATGGCCCCTGGAAGAGTTTCTAGGAGCTGATGGCTCCTTGACAGCTGACTGGAATTGCACGTGCAATGTGCACTGTGCCTGGGATGCACGTTCACCTCAGTGTGTCTAGCAAGTAAATTCTAGTCAAACTTAATGGTTTTGGTTATTTTCCATTGGCTAGCATTACTTCCCCCACACACATACACTGTGTCCCCTCCTTCACAAATTAAAAAAAAGGCAAGCACAAAAAGATTCAGCCCAAGATGTCTGTGTGGGAAATTACTGGCCTAACAACAGAGCTTCAGTCTCTGAGAAGAGGTAAGATTCAAGTGTGGATTTGTTTTTTGTAGTTCACTTAATTTTTAGAATGGATTCAGGCTAAGCTTGAATATAAATGTTCCTCAAATGAGAAGAACTCAGATCTGCATCTCGAGATCTTCACAAGAAAAGTCTCAAGTGATCAAGGGCCCCATCCCATATTCTAAACTGTCTGAGCTGCTCAGACTTGCAGAGGTATTTAGTAGGCTGGCAGAATTAAAAAAAAAAACCCCAACAAACCAACCACCCAAGTATATTACACCTCTAAATCTCTGTTTCAAGAAGAAAATTGAAAATTCTTGAAAATTCTGCTTGGCTCCTGCAGTCACTTCTAAACTCATCTTCGAAAGCTACACTTGTCTGTTGGCAAATTTAGAAACATGACTGAGTTGCAATAATTTAATGAGCTGGCATGCATCAGTGCAACTGTGGCAACTGTGCCTCAGGCCACTGCAAGTAGGAAATAAAAAGCATTAGCTTTAAACTCCAGGAGAAAAGATTTAGGCCCTCTGCATTTCTTCTCACCTCTGCTGAGAGCTATGAGCGTGCACACTGTTAGTTATCACGGACCAGCTGATGCTTGGCAGCAACATTTAGTTACAGGTATGAGCTCTGTTTGCAGAGAACCTACATCAGTCTGCCTTCTTTCAAGTTTCACATGGGAGACTGTTAGGAATGTCAGCATAGGCACTCAGGGTATTTTTGGTTTTAACCACAAATAATTTACACCCTTGGTATCTTTCTGCATGGATTGCATCGTAAAAAAATAAGAGGTTCTGGAGGGGTCTCCCTGATTGACAGAGGAGCAGCAACTAAATAATCTACCATTATGAGGCGAGCAGAGACCATCTTTAATAGGACAATAGAGACTACAGGTCTAAGACTACCTGATAACTCTTAGTAAGTGTAATGAGTTTGGAGTATAGTAGCGTCCATCTGGAGTAAACTGCAGCCTATGAAACTGGTGAAAACCCAAGAAGAGGCAATGCTGGAAAATGACATTAAAAGGAGCTTCTCCACTGGGAAAGAAGATACCTCTACAGAAGGCTAGTGAAGACACTACAGAAAGAAGCCTCCTCCAGCAAGGTCAAAGCCATTACATGTATTTTCAGGAAGGATGGAGAAACTGGGAGGAACTTATACGTGGAGGGTTGCTTTGTGAGTGTAACTCACTTGTTTAAGGACAGTCTGGGTTGTGTGAATGATTCCATGAAGACTAAACTGCTTCTTTGGCTGTCAGAAGGCCTCCAAAGGAGCAGTCACATGGGTGACTCCAGAGGGAGTGTGTTGGTGCGTGAGCGATGGCAAGAAAGCACACAGATGTTGCTGAGGCCCAGCAAGTTTATAAGTGTGGAAGGTTTAACAGGGGAGTTGAGTCAGGGCTGGTACCTAAATTGTTTGGGCATGCTGCAATTTCCTGCCTTTTGGCTAAAATAAGCTTACTGAGAAAGTAACTACATCTCTGTCGCACAAGGACACATCATTTCCTCCTAACACACATGTACTTTTTTTTTATTTAAAGTGAACTCAGATGGTTGAACTTTGCGCAGTCCGAAGGTAAAGGAATTTAGCTGTGGAGAGGGCTGGGACTGAGAGGCTTTAAGGCGATGTGATATCAAACAACCTAGCCAATGTGAGAAGGTGGTGAACGGGTTCAGGAATGTGGTAGGGCTCCTGAAAGCAGGCATGTCCATGTCCCACCATTTTCTCAGCTGTACTGCTGGGAACTGTACTATACAATT